TATCTTATTCAAACGACGATAGTCTACGCAAAATCGGATAGATCCGTCTTTCTTACGCACCAGGACGACAGGAGACGCCCAGGGACTGTGAGATGGTCGAATGACGTCTCTACGAAGCATATCTTCGACTTGATCGTTGATGACGCGGCGCTCTTCAGTGGAGACACGGTATGGTCTTTGACGCAGTGGCTGGTGTAGGCCGGTGTCAACATGATGCTTGACTTGCAACGTGCGGCCTAGTTGAGGTTGGGACACATCGAAGGAATTCCGGAACTCATGCAGAAGATCAAGCAGGTCGGCATGTTCCGTGGGAGTGAGGGTGTCGTCGATGGCGCTGGAAAACGTATCCTTGGACGACTCTTCGAGGGCCGACAGTGATTTTGGGTGGTCGCAGTAGTCATCCGGGACATCAACCAAAGACGAAGGGTCGAGATCCTGCACGCGGCCGAGACATTCCCCCGCAAGCAAAGTCACAGGTGTGAAAAGCGTGTTAAGTATGAACATATTACTTCTTCCGGCGGCAAGGTCAATCGTTGCGAAAGGCAGCGGCAGAGCTCGACGACTCGTAAAGATATCGGAAGGCATGAAAAAGACTGTAGCGTCAGTGTAGGCGTTGCATGCAACTAGAACAAGTGCGAAGTTTTCAGGTGGAATATCGGTGTCTTCATGCACGAACAACTTCGGCGGCTGATGAAGAGCGTCAAGTAATGGGACATCACAAAAGGGTGAAAACTCAACTTCAGCGCGTGCGCAGTCGATGACGGCATTATGGCGGGATAGGAAGTCCCATCCGAGGATGACATCATGCGAACAGACAGCGAGGAGAATAAACTCCACAGTGTAAACAATGCCTTCGATGAACACTCTTGCAGTGCAGGCCGCGAGAGGCGTTACTTGCTGTGCACTTGCGGTGTGGAGTGACAGTCCCGAATGCGGCGTCGTGACTTTACGTAATACACGGCAGACATTAGCGGCAATAACAGAAACAGTGGCGCCGGTGTCTACAAGGGCGAAAGTAGAATAACCTTCAACAGTTACTGCGACCACGTTAGCAGGAGAGGGGCGAGGGCTTAGACAGTTTGAAAATGGCTCAGTTCTTGCCTCTTGGACTGCGGTGCTTAGTTTTCCTGGTCAGAAGGTCTGGGCCGGCGACGCATTGGGGAGGGCGATCGCCGACGAGGAGAGGGTGCGGGCGGCGTTACGAAGTCGGGGTCGTTAGGAGGGGCATAGTGAGGTGACGAGACCGGCCCGTATTGCACGAAGGGTTGGCTGCCGGGTTGCGACGATCGGACATAGTCACCGAACGTCTGAGGTCGACGGCGGCAGTAGCGGGCAACGTGTCCGGGAGTAAAGCAGGCGTAGCATATCGGTCGGTTATCGGGCGTTCTCCAAGAATTGGCTACTGGTGGTGCCGCCCAAGGTGCAGTATAAGCAGCCGGGTGTGCGGGCTGTGAGCGCGAGGTGTAGGGTGGTTGCGAAAGCCTACGCACAGCGTCTGCATATGTGAACGGCGCTGCTACAGGCTGCATCACTTGCGAGCCGGCGACAGGAGGAGCCTTAGGCTGCGCTGCATACGTTATGGGCACGGCCACAGGCTGCACGGCTGGCGGATAGGCGACAGGAGGGCCTACCGGCTGCGCGGCACGCTGCCAGTGGGCAAGGCTGGATAGAGGCGGCTCGTGGTGCGCAACAGGAACAGCTTAGGCAACCTCTTCCGAAATAGCAGTGCGAAGCAGGGCAGGTAGACGGGTGGTGGTCTCGTGAGTGAAGGGCACTAGGGAAAGTTGGCGGGCGACTTCCTTACGGACGAAGGCTCGAACTTGCTGAAGCAGCGGTGAATTGTCCGGCAGGGTGTCGAAACTGGACAGTGACTCACCACCATGCTGAGGCTGCCGAGTCAGAGTGCGTTGCTTCTTCAACTCGTCGTAGCTCTGACACAAGCTGACGACTTCGGAAACTGTGCTCGGATTTCTTGCCAAGTGCATTTGAAATGCGCCGTCGTCGATGCCCTTCAGGATGTTTTTGACCTTGTCAGATTCGGGCATGGTGTCATTCACACGTCGACAAAGGTCCACGACGTCCTCAATATAGCTGGTAAAGGTCTCGCCAGCCTGCTGAGAGCGGACGCGCAAGCGCTGTTCTGCCCTCTGCTTGCGGACAGCCGGCCGACCGAACACTTCAGCACATGACGTCTTGAAGACGCTTCATGTGGGGATGTTGTGTTTGTGGTTATTAAACCACAATTCGACGACGCCAGTGAGATAAAATATCACGTGGCCTAGCTTGTCGGCTTCATTCCACTTATTGTTGGCGCTCACCAGTTCGTAGTGCTCGAGCCAGTCTTCGACGCCGGTCCCATCCGCACTGCTGAAGACCTTCGGCTCCCGTAGCCTAGGATGGCCACGGCAGTTGAACTGGAGCGAAGGCGTCGATGTAGTGGCGTTGGTAGTCATGACAGGTGGTAGCGTGTGGCTTCGCAGCTCCAGGGTGTAGCAACGGGAATTAACAGCACCTTCCACCAAATGTGAGGAGGTTTATTAGCCGTTAAAGACAGCGACGAGACAGCGTGAAGAACCGTCCAGCGATCGGCACAGCAACGAACCGAAGCACGAGCCGAGAGAGCCGGGCGTTGGCGATGCTGCTTGCTGCAGGCACATGATCTTCTTCACACATTCAATTTCAGGTGGCGAAGAAAGTTCTGTGCACTCAGCTGATTTTTTACAGATAATCGGATCACCACCACCCCTAGATCCGCGATCTCTACGATAAGCTATATAGTTTGGAGGAAGAAACTCGCAGTTTTCAATGCATTCATTCAACCAAGTCTCAGTAACAATGAGTGCATCTGGTTCATAGTCGAGCAAAACACTTTCAATGGCTGAAGTTTTATTCAAGACGCTGCGCGCGTTCAGATTAATAACCGTCACTGCATCAGAAGTAGTGCCCATGTTCCTGGATTTTCATGTGCTTTGAATATTAGCAGCAACTAAGCATGGCTTCCGTGAAACGGTGTTTTCGTCCCAGAAATATGCATCCCTGTTCACGTACAGTTTGTCATGAACAAGGCGCACGCGCGCACCGCTTCGTTTTAGGGGCGAAGCTCCTTATGACATGGCTTGTGCATCCCTCGTAGTAGGTAACCACCAGTGGCACATACCCGAAATAGCGGTCCTTACAATTTTGACCTTCAAGGTGGTTCCGGTGAGAGATTTCTTCTTTGCGTTGTTGAACAATAAAATATAGTGCTCAATGCACATGTTAATGGCTGCTAAGGGGGAATGACAGACAGGAGCATTTGGCCTTTAGGTAACGCGCACGCTGCGATCCCCATTAGCAGCTATTGGCATGTACATTGAGCACGATCTGACAAGAAAGGGCTGCTACGTTATACTCGCTGGGTGTAACCTCCTTGGTTTTAGAAAGGTTTAGCGAGCGTTGGGCCGCATAGCCATGATTTCAGTGAATTAGTATATACCATGAACTCGAATGGTTAAAGGGGGGAAGCAAACCCGAAGCGCAAGCCATAAGAAAGTGTGCATGTGCCACCTCCCGTTTAGTCCTTGAAATGTCCGCTGGATGGCGGTGCTTCTATATAGAGAATATATGATGAAAAGATGCGAGATGGTGGTACTTGGAGTGCTGAATAGATGGACGAACGGACACACAGACAGATGCATGGATGGACGCATGAATGGACGCAGGCACGGATGCATGGACGAACGCAGAGACGGACGCACGAACAGACGCACGAACGGACGGGTGGATGGACGCATGGACGGTTACACAGACGTACGCAGGAACGGACGGAAGCAAGAACGAAGGGACGGACGAATGCTTCGCCCCACTCCCCATCATTCACTCCGTGGATATGCTGTCATTTTTTTTCTTCTTTTGCACTCTCCCAAAGGCGCTTGCCACCATAAAGTACGCGTTTTGAAAAGTCTTCACGCACCGAAACACCTGTTCCTTTCAATTTTGAACACTTCGTCAAGATATCGCTCTTTTCTTTGGAGTTGTATAAGCGAAATATTACAGGCCTGGAATGGTCTCGCCTTTTTCCAAGTCGATTTATGCGTTCTACACTACACGGACTTACACCTATTACACAAAAAAGCTGTTGGTTTACAGTTTCAAACAGTTCATCGGCTGATTCACTTGGTCTCTCAGGAAGACCATAGACGATCAAGTTATTTCTTCGTTGCCGATTTTCTAGATCGTTGACCCTCTGGGAAAGCACAGCCACTTGCTCAGTTAAAGCAGAAACCGCTTCTTTAGCTTGGGTCAATTTTGGAAGGGATGACTCAATCATATATACAGTCGTTCTTCAAATTTTTTTATGACGCTGCCATTATCTTTTACTTCCTTCTAAAGCGCACGTTGATCACGTTTTATATCAGCAAGTGTCTTTGTCTGTTCTTTCAATGTTTGTAAAATTTGTTTAGTGTTTTCTTCAAGTACAGCGGGACCGGGCTTTGTCTCAATATCACCGCTCCTAGCCAACTTCAGCAACACAGACCAGCAATCACAAGATAGAGAAACAGTGTGTTGGGGCACGGCACGACTATAAGAAATAGTTCATTGCTTCGAAAACATGAAAAGAACCGCCTCACCTGTAAACAAGCAAAGACGAGCGTATTTGAGGTCATGCTTTGGTGAGTGCCGTGCCCGCAACTGAGTCCGTGTGGATCCGAGGTGTTCCTTATATACAGTTGAGGGGCGTGCACATCCATCTTTGATTGGGCCACGTAGTCACAGCATGGCTCGTCGATGACGTAGGCTGCTGGCTCCAGGGGAACTGCATGAATGCGTCCGTTTGTTGAAAGATGTTCGACGGAGTAAAACACACTTGGCAAAGTCTTGCTGCTTGCAGAAATGATAATCTGAATCTGTAAACAAGCAAAGACGAGCGTATTTGAGGTCATGCTTTGGTGAGTGCCGTGCCTGCAACTGAGTCCGTGTGGATCCGAGGTGTTCCTTATATACGGTTGAGGGGCGTGCACATGCCACGTAGTCACAGCATGGCTCGTCGATGACGTAGGCTGCTGGCTCCAGGGGAACCGCCTGAATGCATCCGCTTGTTGAAAGATGTTCGACGGAGTAAAACACACTTGGAAAAGTCGTGCTGCTTGCAGAAATGATAATCGGAATCTGTAAACAAGCAAAGACGAGCGTATTTGAGGTCATGCTTTGGTGAGTGCCGTGCCTGCAACTGAGTCTGTGTGGATCCGAGGTGTTCCTTATATACGGTTGAGGGGCGTGCACATGCCACGTAGTCACAGCATGGCTCGTCGATGACGTAGGCTGCTGGCTCCAGGGAAACCGCATGAATGCATCCGCTTGTTGAAAGATGTTCAACGGAGTAAAACACACTTGGAAAAGTCGTGCTGCTTGCAGAAATGGTAATCGGAATCTGTAAACAAGCAAAGACGAGCGTATTTGAGGTCATGCTTTGGTGAGTGCCGTGCCTGCAACTGAGTCCGTGTGGATCCGAGGTGTTCCTTATATACGGTTTAGGGGCGTGCACATGCCACGTAGTCACAGCATGGCTCGTCGTCGACGTAGGCTGCTGGCTCCAGGGGAACCGCATGAATGCATCCGCTTGTTGAAAGATGTTCGACGGAGTAAAACACACTTGGAAAAGTCGTGCTGCTTGCAGAAATGATAATCGGAATCTGTAAACAAGCAAAGACGAGCGTATTTGAGGTCATGCTTTGGTGAGTGCCGTGCCTGCAACTGAGTCTGTGTGGATCCGAGGTGTTCCTTATATACGGTTGAGGGGCGTGCACATGCCACGTAGTCACAGCATGGCTCGTCGATGACGTAGGCTGCTGGCTCCAGGGAAACCGCATGAATGCATCCGCTTGTTGAAAGATGTTCAACGGAGTAAAACACACTTGGAAAAGTCGTGCTGCTTGCAGAAATGGTAATCGGAATCTGTAAACAAGCAAAGACGAGCGTATTTGAGGTCATGCTTTGGTGAGTGCCGTGCCTGCAACTGAGTCCGTGTGGATCCGAGGTGTTCCTTATATACGGTTGAGGGGCGTGCACATGCCACGTAGTCACAGCATGGCTCGTCGTCGACGTAGGCTGCTGGCTCCAGGGGAACCGCATGAATGCATCCGCTTGTTGAAAGATGTTCAACGGAGTAAAACACACTTGGAAAAGTCGTGCTGCTTGCAGAAATGATAATCGAAATCTGTAAACAAGCAAAGACGAGCGCATTTGAGGTCATGCTTTGGTGAGTGCCGTGCCCGCAACTGGCTCAAGGGCGAAAGTGTTTATAATGATCACGATAAAGTGGTAGAATGCATTGCATTGAAGCAATTCTACCACTGCATCGAGGATGATGTCAAGCTTTCGCTGAAGGACAAACTTGGTGAAGCAGAGCTGAACAAGGCAGCAGAGTTAGCTGAGGAGTATTATACTCGTCGAAAGTCGCATAGTAGGGCAGTACGCGTTGAAAAGAATGAAAGAAAATAAGGCTTTTCAAAGAAACCTGATAAACGGAAACCCACTCCGCACCGTAATTTCATGAAGGATCCGTCTGTTATCGAAAACACTGTAGGGGAAGGGCAAACGGAAGCGGAAAACTCGAGTGAGGTTCCTAAAAAACGCACTGATACCACACGGGCGTTTGAATCACGGAAGCTGCTAATCTGCTACAACTGCAAAAAGGAAGGGCAAATCGCGATAAACTGTAAGCAAAAGTTTGCTTGAGCAACAATCCGAGAATCAAAAATGAACATGCGGTTGTTAGAGCCGTATCTCCAAGAAATTAGTGTGAATGGGAAAACGTGTCGAGCCCTTCGAGACTCAGCGGCAACCATGAACGTCGTCCATCTTTCGTTGGTGTCTCCGGACGACTTTACAGGAAAATGTGCGTGGATCAGGCAAGTCGCCGAAGAGCAGTGATTGCTTACCAATCGCTACGGTTGTCATTGAAGGCCCGTTCAGTAAGCTTTGCACCAAAGTGGCTGTATCTGCCACGCTTCCCGATCGTTTTCCTTATCTTTTTTCTAATAGCTCTAAGCGGCTTCTCAAAGAACAGGGTAAATCGTTCTTCTCCAACTTAACGTGCATGGCCCCCACGCGATCGCAAGCGCGGAAGCTTTCGCAGGCACTAAATCTCGTTCAGTATAGTGAAACATCACCTGCTAAAGAGGCTGATCTGCCTGACCTTGGCGGCAAGGCAATGGTGCCTCGGACAGATAATTCTCCGGATGAGTCACTCGAGCCGCCCGTCGCAGAAGCCGTCTCTGCCGGTGAAGAAGACGACATGACGCCATTAGATGAGAGCGAGAGAGTTGCAACGCTCTCGCCTGTAGCGGAAAGTTGCAGTGGGCTGTCGAGGGTTCATCGAGAAACGCTCATTCGAGAGCAGCGTGAGCACCTCTCAATTGAAGCGCTAATGGAAAGCGTAAACTTGGGGAAAAAAGAAAAAGAATGTTTCTTTTTTGAGAAAGCAGGGTTTCTGTATCAGAGCTACACAAATGTGCCATAGTCGCAATTATGAGCAGCTCTTGGTGCCACAAAGGTATCGGCGCCAACTATTAGAACGGGCGCATGAAAATGCGTGGACAGGGCATCTCCTCATTAATACCAAGGCTAGAGTTTCCCTTGAGTTTTATTGGCGGAAATGCTGGAAGGATATCGAAGACTTTGTACGCTCATGCGACACTTGTCAGAAAAAGAGGAAATTCACAGACAAGTAGAAGGCACCCGTGAAGCTTGTGCCAAATTCCACAGACCCTTTTGGCGCCAAGTAATTGATATCGTCGGGCCATTGTCAGAGTTAAGGCAAGGTGTTTGGTACATCTTGACTGCCCTCTGTGTAGCCACAAAGTTTTGAGAAGCGATACCACTTAAGCTGCTTAATTTTCCTCATGTCGTGGATGCAGTGCTATCTATTTTTGCGCGCGTCGGATTTCCATCTGAAATCCAATGCCACAACGGTAGTGTCTTCACCAGCTGCCTTACCTCTACCTTTGCGTATAAATGCGGAATAAAAGTAGTGCCACGCTCGATCCATCACCTGCAATCTATTCAGTTAGAGCGTGTGCATTCCGTTCTAAAACAAATACTGAGAGCTTTTTCTACGAGCATGAATGCGACTGGGAAGCCTGTATTCCTCCAACTATCTTCGCTTTGAGATCAGCTGCTCATGAGAGCACTGGTTTTTGCCCTGCAGAGCTTGCGTATGGCAGGAGTTTGAGAACACCATTGCGAATGCTACGCGAGTCCTGGGAGGGATTCGATGAGAACCCTAACGTAGTTGCGTATGTCCTAGACCTTCTTCAGAGGCTTGGAAAAAATGAAAGATCTTGTGGAAAGCCACATAAAGGCTGCACAATTGTTGTCGAAGGAGTACTACGATAAATCGGCTAACAAACGCCCCTTTCAAGTGGGTAGTCAGGTAATGTTGCTGCCGCCGTCCAAAAGAAACAAGCTTGCGGTTCATTGGAAAGGGCCCGCAAAAGTAATATTGAAGCTTTCTGATAACAATTTTGAAGGGAAATTAGGAAGGCGGCCGAAAAAAATTTACCAGAGTAACTTAATGAAACCATGCATTCAACGTCAAGCGGTCGTAAATCTGCCGTTTAATGCTTCAGAGGAAGAGGGAGCAGAAATTTTGAGTTATTGGGATGTAATCGAAAGGGGATCAGATGTAATCTTGGAGCAATTGAACCTAGAGCCTAGGTTAAGTGAAATCCAGAAGGAGGACTTAAGAAGGATTATGTCCGAGTAGAAAGACGTGTTTTCGGACCGTCCCGGAAACATGACGGTGATTAAACACGATATTGAGCTAACTTGTGAGGATCCGATCTGTAGCAAGCCGTATCAATGTTCGCATGTCCAAAACCAGACCATGAATGGGGAGATCAATAAAGCGCTTGAGTTTGGAGCTATTTTGTGCCAGGAAGACAGCGCTGGTAATGCAAGGCCAGTTTTGTATTTAAGTCAAAAAATCTGCTGCAGAGAAGAGGCATACACTACCTCTGAAGAGGAATTCGCTTGCTTCGTGTGGGCCGTTCAAAAGCTAGCCAGTTATGTTTCCGGTTCGACGTTTGTGGTCTAAACGGACCACTGTCCTCTAACCTGGTTAAATAACATGTCGCCTAGAAGTGGCTGGTTACTGTGGTGGACATTATACTCCAACAGCACAACTTAGACATTCGCTACAAGAAAGGAAAGCTAAACGCTAATGCTGACGCATTGAGCCGTGAGTTTTAGTTAGTACCTTCTCCGCCGTTCGGTCTTTTGCTGGCGAGTTCGGGCAAAATTTTGTCCTCATCACAGCCTTAGCTGAGCGCTCTCGTCCAGAGTGATCTCAAGAGGCCAATTTTATTTTGTATTCTATTTCATTGGGTTGTTTTACGTGGAAAATTTTGAGTTTTCATTTTAAGAGTCTTGTGTCCCACGTGTGCCTCTTGATGTAGAGGGAACGAAATTCCGAAAGACACGTAGCTGGGTACATGTTGTACGATACTATGTCTGGTGTTCTGTCGGGTAACCGAGGGCACTTGCTTGTGACTTGTGTTGTCTGTTGTCGAACCGTTCTTGACAAGTTGCAGAACCATCGACAAGTGATGAGACCAAAAATCGTCAGAAGAGACAAGCGAAGCTAGTTTACAAGTTGTGGCGACAAGCCAGTAGAGCTGGAATGCGTCCTTAATAATGGAATGTGTTCACGGAACTGAGCCTGGAGCTGCATCCTCTTCATGGCCCTGGAGGGAAACCTGGAGAGACCTGGCGAACGAGCGCACCCGACATCTGAGCCACGTGGAAGGAGCTCGTTTTTCCACCACCGCATTGTCTGGTGGCCGGGGTGTTGTTACGCCTGGGAGTCCACACCGAACGTCGTTGCATCTGCAAAGGCAATCTGTGTCAAAGCCAGCGAGCAAGCTCGCATAACGCCGTCAACTCAACGAAGTCATCAAGCGGCGGCACCGGTTTGTCTTACGCAATGCAGAGCGAGCTCCCTCAGCCCACGAGCCGAATGAAGCAATCGGCACCTTCCAGTCTGGTGAGTCTTTCGCGGTGCGTGGCAACATCACTCGTCCCTGGTGCAACCCAGCGGCGAGTGTCAGAATCCCTTTGGAGGATTCTGACATCACGGCCAGCGGCGCTTCTGGTTGGACGTTGGTGAC